AAAGATTCATGATGTCAAGTATTATAAACATAAATGTCAAAGATATTGACCTCATCAACTTAAAGGTATATATTGCAAACATTAATGTTTTTCTATCTCTTGTTTCACAACCTTTCAAGTGAAAGTTTGTCGAGACGAAATTTAAACCATAAACGTAATGATATTCCCTCTTTGATGTGCCCAATTTGTTTTAATCATTTCGAAAAGATAGACCATACTTTAGTTAAATGTGAGCTTGCATTTAATATATTGCAAATGGTGTTTAGATGGGCTGATTTGATGTTGTTAGGAATGTATATGGTGCATGGTGTGTATTCGTGGTTGGACTCGATCAATATTTTAAGGAATCGAAAAGCAGATCTACATCAATTATTGATATAGTGCTTTAGGTGATTTGGAGATTCAAAACGGTGTCTTGTTTAATGTCAAGATGCCAATTAAAAACCTTTTATTTGACAATATCGATGTCTTTGTTTAATTGGTTTTGTGTATAGAAACCATAAGATGTAGGCTACTTGTGTTGAGTGATTGTAAAACCCACTTTTAGCTATTTATGTTTATATTTATAGCTTCTTGTTAGTTTTGAATAAAATTCAGCTCTTAAAAAACTGTCAAACGAGCAATGGAAATCATTACTAGGTTTTTTTTAGCCAACTATAATCTATTATATGATAATGTATTATGTAACGAACACATAAAAATATTTAATTATGTAAAATATAATTATATGATGGTTGAATTCCATTTAACCGACGTTTACCTGTTACTCAAATATTCAAAATAATAACTCATAAAAACCATATTAACTATTAATAAAATTCATATTTGCATGTAATAAATCAAAATGAATATGTAAATCTTACAATGATTTCCTTACCAATAATTTTTTCTTAAATCTTCAAATATATAGCTATTGGACGATGACATCAAATCAAGAAGTATATGTGTTTAATAAGGTCAGACGGAATGATATGCGGGGAGGGGTGCGGGAAGCGTCCCACATGCGGGAACACCACATCGTCGGTGCGGGAAGCGAAACGCGGGAAAGAAGGTGGGGGTTGAGATGCCGCATTCTCACTCTTCATGCTATTCGTCCGTTATTTGTTTTACTTTTTTTTTTTCTCTCTCTCTTTTTTTTTTTGCTTCAAACGGCTATATAACCGTTAATATATATATATATATATATATATATATATATATATATATATATATATATATATATATATATATATATATATATATATTCCTTTTATTAAACTATAAATACCACAACATTCAACCATTTTTTAATCCATATCTTATAATTCTCTTAAAAAAGTATTAATCAAAGTGTCATCATCTTCATCATCCGATTCGACGACTCTAGAGAAGGCTAAGTTTATCAGTTCCGTTATGGCGAAAACGATCGCATACTATCAAAACCGACTAAGTGAAACATCATGTGCACGATCTAAACAAAGAATGTCGTGGTTGCGTAGAAATCACGAAGCCGGACACGATCGTATTATAGAAAATTACTTTGCAGATGAAGCCATCTACGTTGTAAAGTTTCGACGTCGGTTCCGGATGAAGAAGTAACTATTCTTACGTATTGTTGGCGATTTGGAAGACCTCTTTCCATATTTTCAATGGAAAATGGATGCGAGACGGATAAAATGTTTCTCTCCCATTCAAAAAATGCACGGCTGCAATTCGTTAGTTAGCATCAGGTCCTACTCTACCATTTGCAAAATTAAACAAGAGCTTAGGGCCCTTAATTCTAAAAAGCCCCTAATTTTAAAACTTATTTTGTTAATTATATATATGTATATATACGTATTTCTTGCATTACAAAGACATATTGGAGCTTGGTTTGATGGTAAAAGCAATAGTTTAAAAAAATAAGGGTCTCAAGTTCGAATCTCATTGCCCCCTTGAAGGGGCCTAATTTTTTTTGTTTGCTTAGAGCTCCCAAATTGTTTGAGCCGCCCATGGGTAGCATATGGCATGGGCGCAAACAAATTTGACGAGTATATTAGGATATCAGAGCGTACCGTGCAGGAGTGTGTGTACAAGTTTTGCAAAGTGATCTGTTTGGTTTACGGGCAACGATATTTGCGCAAACCAACTATCAACGATATCCACCAATTGTACACGGTGCATGAAAGCAAGCATAGATTCCCTGAAATGCTTGGTAGTATCGATTTCATGCATTGGGGTTGGTCATTATGCCCCAATGTGTGTACAAGTTCTGCAAAGCGATCTGTTTGGTTTACGGGCAACGATATTTGCGCAAACCAACTATCAATGATATCCACCAATTGTACACGGTGCATGAAGGCAAGCATGGATTCCCTGAAATGCTTGGTAGTATCGATTTCATGCATTGGGGTTGGTCATTATGCCCCAACACATGGCGTGGTCAGTATAAGAGAGGCGACCACAAAGAGCCGAAGATTGTACTAGAGGCTGTCGCATCACATGATCTTTAGATATGACATGCATTCTTTGGTCCAGCTGGTGCAAACAATGACATCAATGTGCTAGACTAGTCGCCGGTATTTAACGATATCTATCTTGGAAAGTCGCACGATGTACATTTTCAAACAAATGGGGTAGCATATAAGCGTGGATACTATATTACTGACGGTATATATACTCCCCTGTTTGTTTTTGTGAAATCGTTTACATGTCCTAACGACCCGAAAAAGAAAAAGTTTAAAGAGGCACAAGAGTCAGCTAGGAAGGATGTGGAACAAACATTTGGTGTACTTAAGAGACGTTGGCAAGTACTAGTAATCGGGGCAAGGTCATATGAAGTGAAAAGGTTCCAACACGTAATGTGTGCATGTATCATATTTCATAATATGATTCTTGAAGACGAAGGAAGAGCGATATGTCGGTAGAACGAAAATGAAGTTTTGCTAAATGTCGAAGGAGTAGTCGTTGGTACACAATAGTATAGGTCGAATAGAAGAGAAGTACACAATCGTGACATTCATCACACCCTTCGTGTTGATTTGGTGGAACACATTTATATGGCTCATATTCAACCCCCGATAGAGTTTTCTCACGATGATTTGTTTGACGAATCAGACGAGGATTCTGATATGTTCGTCGAGAGCGAAGATTCTGATGACGAGAGTGACGTTCGGAAGAATGATGAAGACGATGAGGTTGATGACGAGGACGATGATTCCGAGTGCCGTATTTTGTTTTTTCTTTTTAAATTAGGATATTAATTATGTTTTCTATGTTGTGGGTTGTTTGAGTTTTTGTTTGCTTTTTTTTTTTTTTTTTTTAAAATTTTCTACTTATTTAAATATTAGGTTTAATGTAATTTTATTTTAATTAATGAAATGTTTTTTTATTTTTAATTAAATTTTATGTTTAGTATTAATTTAAAAATTATAAATCATAAAAAAAAATTATTTAAAAATATAAATAATTAGCGAGGGAAGCCATTCCCACCTATTCCTTGGATTTTAGATGAAAAAAATGATATGACCCACAAAAAGTGAGGACCTTTCTCCGCTCCCTCCGGTCTAATGTCAATATCTCTAAACTTAAATACAGTTTTTCATGTGATACACGGATCATTTGTGTAATTAATTTACTTTCAAATAATTTGATTATCGTTTCCAACACATGAACTTAATGTTTCATTCGAGATATTAATTTCCATCAGCATAAATATTCAGATTTCATCAGAAAGTTTCAAGTGTATGATGTATTCATGTTTGTGCAATGTTGATCTAATCATCTAACATCGTTGTCACGGATCTATACCAAATCCTCGACAACTTGATTTTTTATTCGTTTGTGATTTTGTACAGGTCAGATTTTAGGACTTTCTTCTTTCTCATCAAGGTAACAGCTGTTCACTTCATTAACTTAATCAAATTTCATGAATAATCTTCAAGTTATCGTGGTTTGACTAATTCTTCAGAAGCACTTAATTATAAATCTAAAGTTGAAAGCTAAATCGATAGAAGTATTTGTTTGTATTGGTGGAGTGTTTCAAGAAGAAACCCCTTTGGCTTTCCACCTGCTACAACGACTCCATTGATTCAATTCTTATAAGTACTGCTAGTTGGCAATTTTTATCGTGCTTTTTTCTTTTTGTTGATGTAAGGAATATAATTATTATAATATCTTAGTCTAATTTCATCATCAAGTGGAAGTAAATTCAAATATTTGTCTTGTTGATGGATGGTGGATCCTTGTGTTAGGTAGTTTTTTGCATGTGAACTTAGCAGCCATTTCTCTCTCTCTCTCTCTCTCTCTCTCTCTTTTTTTTTTTTTTTTTTTTTTTTTTTTTTTTTTTTTTTTTTTTTAAATCATAGGTCAACTAGTTCCAGCTTCGAAAATCTCTAATACTTTAACATGTAATTTAGATTAAGTCTCTTCTTGTAATGGATTAAAGTTAATCATCTTTAGAATATCTACTATATGTAAATGCATCAAGTTATAAGATACAAAAACACATAAATATAAGACAAAATCACACAAATGGTGCACAAAATGCCACATGCAAATCCTTTTCAGGAATTTTTAACATGCTTATTCATTTTAAACCTAATAATGACCCATCGTGTGTATTTTAAACCTAATAATGACCAATCATATTAAAAATTCATTAAAAGGACTTGCAATGATATTTTTTACCAACCACAAGGACCATTTGTGTAAAGTTGTCTAGATATAAATAATTAAGGAAACTTAAGAGCAGTTGATCTTTCAATTTTCACCCAAGATCGGTTAAATATCACAATCACCATATGGATGTGGACACTTACATTATTATAATTTTCTTACATGAACATATTCTAAGGCGGCTTGTAGTTGTACATGTACAGCTCATGTATCAAATAAATACAAATGCAAATTGAACAAATAGTCAACCATGTAATGGATCAAACTACAAGTCTTCCATATTCCTAATGTTCTCAAGAAATCTCATTCTCATCACATAAATACCTTCTTTAAAGTTTCATTAACATCAAACATCTTTCATAAACATGGGGAACTTTCCAAAGATTGCATTCTATTCATCCTTTCTTCTTATTCTGCTCACTTTGAAAGTTAGTGGACGTTTAATTTCAGATGGAAAAGATGAAGTGGCACAAGGTGAAGAAAGATCGTCTTTCTTGCAACTCAAAGGAATCGATTCTTCAGAAGAAGAACATTGTGAGCAAATGTATGGATTTTTACCATGTTCAGAGAACATTCTAGGCCATTTTTTCCTCATTATTGTATACGAATACTTGTTATATCATGGTGAATGTTACGTTTCTTCTGGTGGAAAAAGAATCTTCAAGATTCTTGGCCCTGGTATCTTTGGTGCTAGTGCTTTTCAAGTCCTTGGCTTTCTTCCAGAATCATTAATTCTTCTTGGTATGTTTTTCTTTTTTTAAAAAAAGATTCTATATATCATAACAAAATTTGGTCTTTAACAAGATTTTCTATAAATTGTAGTTTCTGGACTTTTTAACACGCAAGAAGTAGCTCAAGAATATGTTCTTACTGGTGTTGGGTTGCTAGCTGGATCAACAATATTTCTTCTCACTTTACTTTGGGGAACTTGTGTAATTATTGGAAGTCAAGAATTTGAATGTGAATATAATTCTAATACTTCATTGGCTCCTACCCGAAACCATTTCAAGAAGTTCTTTTCGTTTCTTACTCGTTAGTTACATAAAGATTCAATCTTTTTCACATTTAACTTTTGGGTTTACAATTTTAAATTATTTTGGTGTCGTTTTCTCAACTTCTTTTCGTTTCTTGATTTTAGGATGTGGTGTAACTACAGACAAAGAAACAAGTTCAACTGCAAAGATTATGCTCCTTTCACTTATACCCTTTTTGTTTCTTTTGATCCCGAAATTATTTGGGATGCAATATGCTTCTCATGGATATATTTTCATAATCACACTTCCTATTTCGGTTACTTTCTTGTTAGTTTACTTCATTTATCAGGTAATTAAACATCAATTTAAAGAACATAAAAAATATAAAATTGTTACATGGGTCGATTTTCTTACAACGTTTTTTTATTAAATAATTGTGTAGGTGTTTGAGCCCTCGATCCAAAAGAGAAGATTGTCATATGTAAAGCATGAGCATTTAGTTTTAGACATATTGAAACATTTGCAAGAGCACACTGCAGATAAAATACTCACTGAAGATGGTTTAGCGAACTTGCCTGCTATAAAAGGGTTCGTTTCTTTTTTGTTTTGTTTTTTTTCTTCTTCTATTTTTTTTTTTTTTTTTTTTTTTTTTTTTTTTTTTTTTTTTTTATAAATTAAAATTTGGATTAAGTTTGGGTATTGGTTTACAGTTTGTTTACAAAGATTGATCAAGATGGGGATGCTTTCATATCTTTTCCTGAACTCAAAGGACTTCTACAAGATATAAAATTTAGGCAATTAACTTGGGATAAAGAGCAAACAATTGAAGAAGTAATGAAAGAATTTGATTATGATGGTGACACAAAAGTAACAATTGATGAGTTCACTGATAGATTCACAAAATGGCTTGATGAGACTAAAAATGCAGTAAATAAACCTTATCGTTCAGTTAGTTCTTGGAAAGATTTATATCAGGTACTTTATCATTATAAATTATACAAAATTTAAAAAAAAAAAAAAAAAAAAAAAAACATTGTAGTTTAAGCAATTTTATGGTTTATACACTAACACTTTATCTTTTCCTATCGAAATATTAACATTTCAGACATTTTTCTCAAATTAACCATTTTATATGTTATATTAGGTTTCACTAGTAATTTTGTTATATTTGGTTGCACCCGTTATTTTCCAAATTAACATTTTGACCTTATCAGGTCAAATTGGTTAATTTGGAAAAACGTGTGAAACGTTTATGATTTGATTGAAAGAAACTAAGTATAAATGGTTAAACCGCAAAATGGTCCCGATTTTTTTTTGTAACTTTCTTTTTAAAATTTATAGTAGTTATGTTAAAAAAACTGATTAAAATTCCTTGAAATATCTAATTTCTAGGTTGTCCAACCATGGGTTCAAACCAAAAAGAAAGAACGTGAAATGATGAAGGTTCTAGTATCAGAAATTATCAGGCATGATAAAAATACTCCATTTGGAAACTTTTATAAACAAGATGGAAAACCAAATGTGTCAGCCATAAAGAGGTATAAAACCGTAATAATCAATTTCCAAAAGGGTATTTAAGTTAATGTATCATTATTCACTTAACCAAATAAATAATCCCTCTTGAAAATTGTAGATTGTTTAAGAGCTTAGATGTCAACAACGATAACTCAATATCGTTATCCGAATTAAAACAACTTATGATGAACGTTGACTTTGGTCAAACATCATGGAATGTGGATGAAGCAGCATCTCACATAATGGAAGATCTTGACAAAAGTGGAGATAATGAGATTGATGAAGAGGAATTCATTGATGGATTTAAAGATTTGCTCAACACAAATGATCAACTATTGACCCCTACAACACCCGGCCCTAAAAATATATCACGGGTAAGTTACAAATTTACAATTTTGGTCCCTAAGTATAACTGATTTCTACAATTTTGGTACCGAAATGTTTTCTCTTTTATTGTTTGTCTTTATTTGAGGTTTTTGTAACGTTTTTTTTTATCCTTGTTCACGTAAAACGACTTATATTTACGTATTTACGGCCAAAAATGCAAAATCAGCTAACTCAGGGATCAAAACAGTCATTTTTACATAGAATAAGGACCAGAAACATTATAAGAACCTCAAATAAAGACCGAAACTATGGTATGGGTCCTAAAAATGAAATGTAATTTGATAACTATGCAGAAACCGTGGGAGAGATATGAAAATGATAACGTGGATAGAAGTTTGTGGGGATGGACAAAAGCTGTAATGCTATTGGTTCTTGGGATTGCCATGCTGGCACTTCTGGCTGAACCACTTATACACAGTGTACAAAATGTGTCCAACTCAGCAACCGTTCCTTCTTTTTTTGTGTCCTTTGTTTTTGTCCCATTGGCCACAAATGCAAGAGCGGCTGTTGTTGCAATCCAAACTACAAGTCAACGGAAAGAGAGAACTACTTCGTTGACTTTTTCTGAGGTAATCAATTAATTCAGCGTTATATAAATTATAAACTATAAACTATAAAATAAAATTACTTTTTTTTTTTAATATTATGTTTTTATTTTTGCAGATCTATGATGGGGTGTTTATGAACAATGTTCTAGGATTTTCTGTTCTTTTAGCAGTTGTGTATTTTCGAGGGCTGATTTGGCATTTCACTGCTGAATTATTGATTGTGTTTATTGTTTGTATCATTATGGGGACGACAGCTGGCTTCAGATCAAAACTTCCTATTTGGACATCGTTTACAGCTTACCTGTTGTATCCCTTATCTTTGATTTTTGTGTATTTTTTTGCGGATTTTTGAAAGGAAAAAGAAAACAATAAGTAGAGGAGAATTTCTTTTGTTCTATAAAAGATGAAATGTAGAGATGATGTATTCAAATTGATTTTTCATTTTAGTTTTTCATGTACAAAAGTGCTCTTTTGAAACTTGTATAAACAACATACGAGATGATGAAATGTATATTTGTTCCTTTTCTTCTTAATCTCCTCTTATTTGCTTATTTATTAAGGGATCACACACATGTTATCTCTAACATGTATTATATTTGGGTAAACCTTCTACATGTGTACTAACTACTTCCTATCATTACCAAGTTTCCTTATTAGAGCTTGTTTTAGAAATTACTATTTCAAATCCCAAAACTTAAAGCATTTAGCTATTAACGACTAAGTTCTAAGATCTTAATTCTAAAATATACAAATTAAATTTCAATACGGGGTAATGTTAAATACCAAGGATAAGTTACTTTATCCTAGAGTATGTAAAGAGGAAATACTAGTATTACATCCTAAACTCACACCATTTACTTTTTTTACTTCATAATGAGTACTAAAGTTTTAATCTAAGCACTAAACCGAGTATTTAGTTCATTTAAATTACTGTTTTGATACCAATGCCCCTCTCATATAGATATGTTAGTATATGGTGTATGTATATGTATATGTATATTCTCAGGCCCAATATTTGGCATGTATGTGTAGCCCAAGTCAATATTGTATTCGTTAATCGTAATTTCATTAACGAGAACATATTTTTCAATAAATGTTATCATTCAATTTTTAGAGTTACATTTTTTTTACGTCATAGTTAGTAAAGTAGTTTTCTTACCTTGGAAAACTGTATTCGAATCTTTGTCATCCTAAACCATGTTCATGAGTTATGGCGAGAGTGTGATAATCGAACTAGTATTTAGAAATATGGTTTGGTTTTTTTGACGTGCATTCTTAATATTAGCATTTTATATGCACCGCGACATCAATTTTTGATTTTCTTATTCTAGAAAACGAATTTTCAAAGCAAAAATCTTTCCCAAAATGAATATATTTAGCGGAACATCATTATCTACGTTTTAACAAATTGTTCGTTTATGTATTTTACATTTTAGGTCAAATTTGTGTTTTGTATATTTCATGAATTATGATGAACATTGTGAATCGACCTCTTATAATACGATTGATAGTTTTTTCATAGTTACAATAGTTATCTCATCTCTCCTCTGGTACCACCATTGACGCCAACTTCACGGACACAACTAAAACTATTGTGAATTCAACGCAATTTTTAATGACAACAATGTCCTAGATCTTGTTTTTCGGTTTAATGTAATATGAGTGCCGTCGAGGCCTCACATGTCCTACTCGAGTTCTAGCATGTCATGGCTTTATTTTCAATCTCCATCATTTTAAAGTACTATAATATTAATGAATTTGGTTGTCGTAACAAGTTTGAGTTTTTGGTAAGACAATATACAATAGAAAACAACATAACATTATAAAAAAACTATTATGGAAGAAAAACTACAATTAGGGCTAGCATTCTCGACACGACACG